AACTAAATTGCTTCTATACATGTATAATATATATAAACCTAAATTGCTTATATATATAAAACGAATTAATAATTTGTTAAAGTATAGTCCCCACCCAAGCCTCGAATAATTTTCCTAGACGCTAATTTTCTATAGAACATCTAATTACCGTCTACTGATTTCTAGAACATTGGATAATACTGTAGCTATAAGAGCATGTACATTTAGAAGTATCTCAACAAAGATATCTAACATGTAAATTATTAATATTTTAATACAATTAAGTTAATGGTTAAATTGTAAATCACATAAAAATTGAAGACAATTGTGGAATGACATCTAATCTAATGTTAAAGTATCACAGTTATTTTTATGAGATTCTTAACTTCTTTTGGCTCTCTCTCTACCTTGGGCAACCTTTTTATTTTATTTAATGTTTAGATATTGGATTAGCTACTGTCATTAAGTTTGTTCTAAGTTTTAGGGTGGGAAAAAACACCATAACCATAAACTTTGAACTGCACAAATCCAAAACATGAACCCAAACAAAATCTGATATAAATATATGAATGGATTGTGTTCTAAGTTTTTGAATATTGGGTTTTACTCGAATATATATATCTAAAGAAAATTTCGAGAAGTTTAAATACCAAAAATCATATCAAACTCGAAAATAATACTCAAAACTAATTTTAACATCTCAATTAATACCAAAAGTAAAATTTTACTATATCAGACTACTAGGATCGGTCCGCCCTACGGGCGGGATATATTTTATGATCTAAGTTATTATTATTTGTATGAATGTGTAGTTTATGTTTTAGGTTTAAATTTGTAAAGATGTGTATGATAATGATTTTTTATTTTATAAAGTTTTAGGTGAAGAAAGATTATATGTGGTAAGATATATTTTGCTTGTTCATAATAGTTGTTTCTACAATAAAAATTTGTATTGTTAATATGATTTGCGGGCTTCAAATAGTGTTCATGTTATTTGCTTTTAGGAATTTTGATCTCATATTTGATGTGTTACTTGTGGTTCGTAATATTTGAGTTCAAGGATTGGATTGTGGATCATTTTTTGTGTATATTATAAGAGTGTTCACATTTTATGTTGAAATTATAGTCTTTCGACATGCTATTGGAGTGATAGTGGTGATGATTTGAAGTTACATTTCTTATTAAAAGTAGAATGTTAATGAGAAGAAGGTAGTAATGCAAATTGAATTAAAGTAAGAAAACATTGAAACTGGAAAGTATGAAAACTAAGAAGTGGTCGATCAGTGTAGTCATAGTCACCATAAAACCAAGTCCAATTTTTTTTCTATTTGTTTATAGTAATAACAATCAATGTATCAATTTTCCAGATTATTGAGATGGCGCTTTCTTGGTGGCATTGTAAATATAATATTAGTTACAACTTACAAAGCACTTTTTTCAATAGAAACGTCTTGTAAGGAAAGTTTGATCTATCTCAGCATTTGTCTGCTCTAGACATGTCAGTTTGTTGTTCATGGTGATCTACTAATTTCATGCATTCCTCATGTTCTCATGGGCTTATCAAAATTATGGCATAGATATAGTAACTTTTACCACAATTGTTGTTTGTGAATATACGAAGATGTTTTAGCTCTGTTGCGGATTTGTTTCAGTGTTAAAATTGTTTTTAATATTAATTATTGTACAGATTAAATAAAGATTTTCTTACTTAATCTCATGCACTGATTTTTACAGTCATTAACTGAAATAGACAGTTTGAGAGATTTTAAATTCTCTGTGTTACAATTAAAATAAAAAATAAAGAAAAACACACTGGTTAAATATTTCATCAAATGTTAAAGAGAATCCCCGACAGTGGTCCTTCGTAGAATTTCTGTAATTACCACTTTAAATATTTATCATGCACATCTGGTTATTTTACTATGATGTTTCCATTTATGAACAAAGTTTTTGTTTTAAAAAAAATACTGTTATATCATCACGGCTACATCATTCATAATTTACATTTTATAAAATGTGTATATATAACTCTGAGAAAACAAATTTCTTATATGTTATTAACTGTTGTAGAGAACCACATAAAACTCTATGAGTTACAAATTTGAACTGATCATGGGTCTTAATACGAAGAGCAAAGCAAACCTGCAAGATCACATAAAGTGCATATGTTTCCTTCATGGCTTGGAACAAATCAGAAGCAGTAAGGACAGTACACATGTTTTTTTTCTTTCTAGATCGGACATATCACAAACGAATTTCAGAAGATGTAAGCTTGGTTTTTCATCGGTCATGTTATGTTTAGTGGTTCCACAACTTGTGCGGTCATCTTGGCCTGGCTTGTTAGATTTGGGTTAGTTCCCAACAATCTTATGGCGAAATTGTAAACAATGACAATATTATTTCATTTGTAACAAATACCCAGTGAACTAAGCACTGCGAGCCGTAAGTGAGATGAACAAATCTCGTATATTAATATGTTTTTGACAAAAAATACTAAACTGTATTTTTGTAAATTTTGCAAAAAAATATATATTAATTTTATGTTTACTACATAATTTAATATGATATAATATAAATAAAATAATAAGTAAAATTTAATATCTGCATAAAAATCGTATATATATTTACATAAAAATATTTTGTAACTTTGCATTTTAGTTTTTTTTTTATGTTTCTAAGACTTTGTCAACAAAGACATAAATATTATCAAATTACCAACATTGAAATTATGAACATATAATATTTTATTATAAGATATTTATTTTTTAAAGACCTTTTATTATAAAGAATCTAAAATTTTAAATTAAATTTGAAACATATGAATAGATAGGGTATCCTATTTGTTCCATATATAGTTATACAAAAATTTGTGAATTTAATTACATAAATATTAAAAATCAAATTCATTCCATATTTGAATATATGTGGTTTCATTTAAGATAAAATAATGTAAATCAACAGAAAAAATAATTACCATACATTAAATTAAAATTTAAAAATATAATATTGTATAATTGTATTATAGATCCAATACATTATGACAAACAATTGCATTGAAAAGCAAAAAAAACTCAAAAAATAATATAGGCAAAGAAATATTTGTATGGATTGAACCTATTCCGTTTAATTATAACAGATCACAAAAGAGTATACAGTCATCAAATTTTAGGACACGTACACATAAGTTCTAGAGTGAATTGGCTTAAAACCCAAAGAAATTGATGAATTCAGCAAACTACCTTTGATATGACAAGTTGGGTGACTATGAACAAAGGTACTAAGATGTGGGATTTAGGATATATAACTAATTATGAAGTTTTCTTTGTGTATGGAGTGCAAATACACTAAGTATGGTATATAGCTAAATCTCACATCTTAGTACCTTTGTCCATAGTCACCCAACTTGTCATATCAAAGGTAGTTTGCTAAACTCATCAATTTCTTTGGGTTTTAAGCCAATTCACTCAGTTCTATATCACCCAATGCATAGACATACAAAAACAAAAGCCCTCAAAAACTCTACACCTCAACGTGCGTATAGCCAAAATGAAATGGGAAAGTACTCTTACTTTCCCTTTAAATTTTGCAAAACTCTTTTGGTAACATGCCAAAAAGAAAATAAACCACTTGTCATAGCTAGAAGCAATTTATTTTATTTTCCTCTGTTTCAAAGCTTTTAATCTTTTCCTCCTCTTTCCCAAGGTTATCTCTCACTTCTTGCCTCTCATCAGTTTTAATTTTCGTCCCCTCATCTGTTGTTAAACCTACATGTCTAATCATTTCATCTTTCCACCAACTGCACTCAAACTTCTTCAACCCTTGGGATCTGTTGCTGCTGGACTCAACCAAAGAAACTCACATGCGAAACCAATAACATAACATTAACTTAGATCTAAAAAAAATTACAGGTGGTGATGATAATATAAGGAAAAGAAGACACATAGACACCAACAAATAACTGAAATTTTGGGAGAAACATAGACATGAAACAATGAAGAAACCAGAGTAAAATTAAAACGTATGTAATGTAGAAGATGAATAAGGAACAATCTTGAAAGCCTTGTACTTATCAATCGAAGAGATAAATAATTTGTTGGAGTTCCTGAAACCAACAAAGCCATACTCTTTGCTCTTCTTCATACTATCAATCATTCCTTCAACACCAAACACAACATCAGCAAACCACCACACACCAACCTCATCAAGCTTCTTCTCCTGCAACTGAGGCCCTGTTCTTTTAAGAGATGCTGCGTCAACGACCCGCAATAAGAAATATACTCTCCAACTTAACCACAAATCAGCTGCAGTATCAACACCAGAAACCTCGATGATAATCTCGTCTGCCAGACACAACAAAATCGTTGAATACGCCTTCTCTTCAGTAACCTCCATCTCAGCGGTAACAGATTCAGCCATCTTCCCTGACAACGGTGCCCAAAGACCTTGTTGCTTCAGCAACGCCTTCATCTTGATTTGCCAGAGACTAAAACTGTTCATTCCAGAAAACTTATCAATCTTTATGTTTATCCCAGACATCTTCTCACCAGATTCAACCCAAAGCTCTGATACCAGTTTGTTGTGACAGACGTGAGAAGATACAGATTAACAGATTGGATGAACAGAAAAGAAAGACACAGAGATTTAACGTGGTTTGATCCACGGGCAAAAGGAGTACTTTATTAGTGGAGGCTAGATTTTCAGAGTACAACTCGTGTTACAGAATAGGGTAAAACTGTAAATATATATATGAAAACGATTAATGAAACTTTCCATATTTTCTCGGATTTGACAGTATCGATCGATACACAAGCTCTTGTATTGACCGATACGTGTCCAGCCAGATCGACCGATCCATGACACCTAGATCGACCGATGCAGATTCAAGGCATATTTCAACAATAACCGTTAGCGGTACTTTCAGCGATCAAAAAACAGTCGCATCACCACTTTAACAGCCGCTGTTTTACACAGCGACAAAAGCACCACTGGTAATCCTTGCAAAATCTGATCTCAGCGTCACTTTAATTATCCTCAATCTTTGGTTTTGCCCAATTTGATGAACGATTTATGGTCGCCGGAAGCGAACACAGCGTCCCCGCACCGAACACGGCTTGATTCTCCTTCATCATCGCCTCCCAAACCCTCTTTTTCTCTTTCATCATCCCCACATTCGTCCCTTCCTCGAATCCATACTCCTGGATCCCAAACTGCTAAGCAAGAATATTCCCCAGATTTTTCCACTTGAAAACATCAGTGTTGCTGCAGTTAAATGCTTCTTTCTTCGCGTAAGGATCAACGGCCGCCCAAATCTCCTGCTCAGCGATCAGATCAGCGTCTGATGCCTTCGTGAAAACTTCCCAGGCCTTCTTGCTCCCCGAGAAAACAAACCAAGACCCTTCGTGCTTGCATATGCCTGTGTAGATGCAGAGAGTCCACACAATGTTCCACAAGCTATACGGAGAGAGGCGAAGATAGTGTTTGGTCTATACACAGACCAAGTCACACTCTCTTTCGTCTTAATCTCTTGAGACAAAACATTCTCAAGATCTTGATCTGTAATCTCGGAGGATGGTGTGACCAATATCATGACGGCGGAGAAAGAAACATCGCGTTTCAAACATATTGACTTACACTTTATCAGATGGGCTTCACAAAACTTAACACACATACCAAATATACACAGAAGACCAAACTAATTTAAGACGTGAATAAATGAAACGCACACTTTCGATAGAGTGGACAAGTGTCATGCTGTGGACTTTCAAATTGATGATGTGGCAGAGCAGGAGGAAAAAAAAGCAACTTTATATATATAGATGAGTAATTACCCAAATATTAATTGTAATTATATTTGGTATTTGGCAAAATATTAAATTTTTATATTTTGACATTTTTTAAGTCAAACTATTAATACTTTTGTTTGAGAAGTTTATCATATTGGTTTCAACTTTAAATATCTTTTCTCTGTTTATGAAGTTGTAACAGTTAAATTTAATTGGCTATATTTATCTTGTTAATGAACACTTTTAAATTATGGCATCGAGTACTTACTAGTGAATTTTTTTTTTTAATTTGGTAAGCTTACAAACTAAAATGTGTCTTCTCGAATAAACAAATATTTGCTTAACCGCAATCTGAGTTAGAACTGAACTCAAAACTAAAATATGTTAAACTGAGTTTGTAATATGTTATTATATCTGAACCGAACAAAAAATTGTAAACCAAAAATAAATTTATGATTATCAGATTGAAATTAAATTTTATGATCCCGATGAATAGTGTCACAATTGGATTTGAACACGATTAGATATTAGATATTTGATTGATGATGCCAAACAAGTATATTACTCTCATTTTTTTCTGATGATTTTACTAGCCTCAAAAAATATTTTTTTTAATTGTGCTTACTGTTTAAAAGAAGGTAAATTATCTTGTTTTTTTTTTATATTTTGAAAAAAAATCAGTTAAATTAATTTTGTTTTTCTCTTTTATATTTCAGTTGTTTTATTATTTTTCTTGTCATACATATCCCAATTGACTGAATGATTCATTGTACACTTCCATTCGGGGTTTTTGTAAGCTTGCAACGTGAAAAGGGTGATAGTAAAAACGAGTCAATTTGCTCAAAATACTAAAAGGTGTTGAACACCTTAAGTTTGGGGAGAAATGTTGATGTTGGGGGGAGAAAAACCTGGGGGAAATAGGGTAGAGAGTGCAAATAAGGTATTAGTTGTGTGTAGGGAGTGCAAATTCTCTTAAAACTATAACAGGTTAGAAAATGTTGATTCGTGATATTTCCTCTCCGCCTCACTTACAGTTCAGACCGTAGCTTTGCCAGTGACCGGCGCGTGGCGGCTTACATGGATCTATCATTGCTCTCTCTCTTTATGTTTTGTACTTTCTCTTTGTCTGTTTTGTTGAGATTTGGTGGTTGACAAGTTTGAGAGCTTGCGGCTTGGAGTGGTTCGTCGCATTTCACATGGATCCATAGTATGCTGAAGCCTCTGTGCTGAAGCTCTTATATGTAGTTATGGCTGTGGCTGGTTTTCGCTACAGATATTTTTGATTCAGATCTAGATCCGACCTTCCTCGTTTTGTGGGCTCAGTTCAAGCTTTCTTTACCTAAATCTCTTCTTTTATTTTAGTTATGTTTGCTTTAGAGAACTTCATCTCTCTGGTTTATTTAGAGGAATGGTCATGGTGTTTTGTCCTCATTTATCGGGAAATTTGTGGGTCTTCTTATGATATTTTGGTTCCTAAGCTTGTAATGTTTTTGGGTTTTAGTGTTGTTTTGAACACTTGCATGTTGTTGCTGCCGATATCCTTCAGTTTTGGTGGGTTATAGCAGGTTGGACCTCGTTTTCTCCAGTTTTCTTAAGATTGGAGTGTTCAGGCTTTTATCGAGGCATAGTTTGGTTTCATGAAGTGCGGCACTGTCGTACATGGAAGATGGTGTGACCCTAGAGTGGTTCGATCGTGCCTCTTATAAAGTCTGGGTTTGTTGGTTTGGAGAGGAGTGCTCTTGGCTTGTCAGTTGAGGTTGAGGTTATCGTTTAATGGACCGTGGGAGACAACAATAAATCTAGTTCACAAGCACCTTGTGTTGTTGGGTTGTTACAAGTCTGGTAAGCTAGTATCTTTGTGAGTTCTATTGAATTTTCTTGAGTTATTTCTGGAGTTGTATTTGTTCTTGTAAGACTCCCCGGTGTGGGTTACAGTCGCATGTTCATGGACTCTTCTTGCTATCACTACAAGAAAAATGGGTTTTGATAGCAGTGAAGGATAACGTTTTTTGCCTTTCTGCTATGGTTGACATACGCGTTAGTTTTAGATAGCGTTTGTATATTTAGAAACGCTATGATAGAGTTGTATATTTAAAAACGCTATGATAGCGTATTTTTAATAGCACATTATTAAAAACGCTATCTTTGACTTTTTAAATCTCTAAACCCTAAACAAGTTTTTAAACCCTAAATTTTAAACATAACTTCAAAATCCAACTATTTTAATATCAAATCTTAAACATAACATCAAATATTAAATATAAACTCAAACACCATTTCTTTTTAAATAATTAATCTTAAATCCCAATATCCTAAACCTTTAACCCCCAAACCCTATACTCAAACCTTTATTCTAAAATCATAACTTTAAATCTAAAATCTAAATTCAAACTTAAATTTAATTCTTGTTGGGGTCAAAATCGGTACGACGGAATCAATAGCCAAAATTCCCCGCAAACGCGTAAACGCAACAGTTTTATGAATCTCGAGAATCATTTTATAAAACTAGAGAATCGTTTTATAAAACTCGAGAATCATTTTATAAAACTTGAGAATCGTTTTATAAAACTCGAGAGATCGTTTTATAAAACTCGAAGATCGTTT